TCTCTCAGTAAAAATCCAGCACTTGTAGATGAGCTGTAATATGCATGGATGTGACAAAGCTGTAGCCATGGCATGGGAAAAATAATGACATTTATGAAGAAGGGGCATAAAGTTATCAATACACTCATACCAGTTCTCTCGATTGCAAATAAAAATTGGAAAACTATTTTACATAGCCAGCCCCATGGAGCTCCACTTCACCCAGTGGAGCAACCACTTCTTTCTGACTGTAACCAAATTATGAGAGGTGAGTACAGAGATGTCCTGTGAAGTTGTAGGGAGAAGTCCCTGGAAAACTTTCTCTGGGGTGGAAACCATAGATCTAATTTGACATCATCCCCACCTGTTATGCCCACACTACATCTTCATGAGATGAGTGGAAACAATTAGAATAATATTTTTATACCATTTTGCGCAAGTAAAAAGATAGAAAACCTAAGTGGAAAATGAGCCAGAGTATGAGTGCTTAAAAACTTGGGAACTAAAGAGGATTTAAGTGGCACAGGGGGGCTTGCTGCTGGGTGAAAAAGAATAGTTGCCCGGCTAACAACAAGCAGAGTCAGATGAACCAGATTTGAAGGGAATAATTCAGGTGTTTAAACATAGTGTTTTCAAGATTTGCTAAGGCATCCAAGCCACCTGCAGTGTTCTGGAAGGGATGATGCAGAAAATACAGACAATTCACCCACCCATTTGGAGCAGCAGCTGAAGGCTGGAGTAACCTCAACAACATCTGGAATACTGGCACTAGATACCAGGCATTTAGATGCCAGAGTCCTTGGTATTTCTCCCTAAATTCAGGACTTCTTTTCTTCTCTGAACCTAAACATCTGAGATGATATCTCATGGCTGGTTGTCGACATTCACAGACTGACAGCTGGCTGAGAATAAAGGATCAGCCAGCAGTTTGACTTATTGGAGAACAAGAAAAAACCCCAACTTAACAAGGAAAGGGGGGTAGGTCATATGTTTCTGGCTGCTGGTAGGGGGCTTTCAAGAGTCTGAGAAGTTCTTCTAGACCAGCTGAAGGCAACAGGAATGGGGAAGAAGGCAGCTCAGTGGGGTGAGCTGGGAGAGATGATGGCTGCACTCAGCCCATCCCTAAGCACGTGGCTTTGACTGATCCTTCAGCAGGGAAATGCCCCTATATCCAGGCATTAGCATGAACTTTGCTTACAGCCTTGTAAGGCAGCATGATCTATTTCCACATCTTAGAGATGAAGCTCCTCAGGGGAAAATCTGGAATTTTATTACCATGCAAATCCAGTTGGGATGCTGCTCTCTTACTTCCCCATCCCCCCATACTTCCCTTCTCTGCCTAAAAATTACTTAGGTGTGCAAACATACTTTTCCATATTTCCTCTTGAAGAATCCCAGAAGCATTATTGGACTTACGCAGATGGGTATACTCATTTAACTCTCTCCTTAAGTATTAAAAATCCACACCCTGAGCTTGCCTGTCACATACTAGACTTCTGCTCTTGAAAATATCACCTTTTTCACTGGATTTTTTTGAATAGTATGTAATTATGATGGTTTTATTTATCTGTTTATTTTTAACAGGCTAATTCTTCACAACAACTGAAAAGATAAAATCAGACTCAAGATGAAAAAAATTCATCTGTTGGGTTCTGCCTCTGCATCCTTTATGCCTGTGGCAGTTTTTTCTTCAGCAGAAATGTCTCATTACTTGATTTGGCATCCCGTAGTCAACACCACAGTATGCTAAGCTCCACATTCTGGTAATTGCTGCTAAATGTTCAATTTTTTCATTCACAACCACAGTGGGAGCCGTTTTATAGTAGAGGAGATGTAAATACCATGTAAAAAGATCAAAAGGTGAGTCAGAAACTTATCTAAATCCCAGTAGCCCCAGATAAAGTCTGCCCCATTGCTATAAATAGATTACCACAAGTAATGTAGGGAGAGGGTTGATTGTGACAGGAACCTTGCATCCTGCAAAAAGTTCAGTCTACACCAAACTCAAAGATTTTTTTCTGATAGTTAAAATATTTACATATAGCTGTGAGTACAAGGAAACCATTCTATCGTATTTAGACAGGAACAAAAGAAAACACAGGGCATTTCAAAAGTGTTGCTGTTGCCTACCTCTTCTACTGCTGTGCAAATTTCACTACTTTTATATATATTATTTCAGCTCCAACACATACAATGCCAACAGATATAATCCTAAAGGCATTTGCAGCTTAAATTTCTTACATAAGGATCGTAAATCTAGGATGGGAAGCCTGAAACCGTTAAAGTCACATATTTATAAAATCATATTCAATTAGGTTAAAAAAGTGCAATTTCTGTCATCATGTCATAAAAAGATGTGTTTTTCTCTCAGATCTACTATAAAGAAAAGGTCCCTATATTGTTACAGATAGAGGCTGTTTTCAATCAGTTACAAGAAGCAATCCAATTACTGGATGGTTTAGTGCAGTAACTGACTCCAGACTAATTTAATTTCTTTAGGTCTCTAAAGATCAATTGATCTGATTTGTTTCCCTCCCCAAAGGCTGTTTAGGAAAAAGCAGGCTTAAATACTTGGAAATGAAATACAAAGCTCTGTGTGCTTTCACACTACTTAGGTCATTTGGAAAAGCTAGAACTCAGGATAAATGAGTGCTGTCTTGGCCCCAGCATCATGGGATGCTTTACGGGAGGCCATTAGGATCACCACGCCACACTGTAGATTACACATGCACGTGCTGAGTGCACACCTGCTGAGGGAGCTGTGCAGGAAAGTAATTTCACAGCTTCTAGAGGACTATTCAATTTTCAAGAGCTGTGCAAGTGTGTTTTTGCCTCCACAGTCTTTTCTCTGGAAAATAAGTATTTTTCTCCAGCAGTAATCTTATATTTTCCAATTAGACTGAGCAAGAGTCATGCTGTGCTATTCAAGATTCACCTAGTTGCAATTAATGTTACAATGGACATCAAATAAGTGATTTTTCCTGTTGTCATATCTCACTTTGCTATTTCCTTTGCTTTGTTTTGGATTTCTTTAAGTGATTTTGCTGTTGCTAAAATGAAATCTATAGAACCAGTGGGCATTTAGAGAATGATGTCTTCATGTGGCTGAATATTTTAATGGCAGAACCAAATAAACCCCTAGATATTTCTGCACCATTTGTATAACTTTGTTTGAGAATTGCCTATCTCTTACCAGCCCACTTGCCTGTTACACTTTTATTATCTCATGACTTGATGCGTTGTGCAGCAGGTTTTGAATTTTAAAATACTATTGTAATAGTAATCAGCGCTAAGCTTTCTAACTTAAGTCAAAATCAGACCTGACCCAAACTTGGGCTCTCAAATCCAGAGTTATAATGCAAGCTTAATACTTTTTGCATTCTCTTTTCTGGTATTTATTGTAGGCTTCACATTTTTCTGCCTTATCTTTCATGGCAACATTTGTTCCTGGGCTCGGCCGCCTGTCTCAGGCTCTATTCTTACACTTATCAATAAACAAAAGGGCACTGCAGCTTACGCTCAGCATTTCTGACTCCATGCCATGTGCTATTATAATAAGATGTCCTCTGGAAAAATTCCCTTCATATCCAGCACCATGATAGTCAGTTCAACTGCACAGAGGTAACTGAGTTTTTCTCCCAGCTTATCTGTTCAGACTCTTTCCGCCCTTGCAAAGCTGTGTCGTTAGATGTCTCTTGTCTGTAAAACCAGGAAACCTCTTCTGACAGGTCATTCCTTGACTATTTATTGCATACTGACCTGAGCTTTGGATGCTGTTTACCTCAGTATTCTCTCAATACAGCAGGTCATGCTGTCCTATTAAATTTGCCTCTTTTTTTTGTTTGTTTTCATTTTCAATGAAGGCTTTCACTTAAGAAACAATTTTCAACAACTTTCCAAGTGTGTACTGCAGCCTACAAGCTTTCTTTCTCCAATTTACTGTTCTTTTACCTATTTACTCAATAGATCACTTATGAACCAGTCATTAGTAAGGTGTGAAGGACACCACTATTTCCCACTCATTGGTCCTGCTTAGATAGATGTACTTTTGAACTGCTGTAAAAACTTTCTCTAGCTCTGCGGCTATGATTTCACTGAGCAGTTTGTCCCCTGCATGCACCTGTGAAAAATGATTCACAGATACATCTGGATATCTCCACATAGGAGCCTGGAGGGTTTTGGCCTCTCCAAACTTTCTTGCATGATTGTGTGCTCATAGGAAAATTGGATGTGCTATATCCATCTCCATCGAGTTCTATTCCAGCTTAAAGGACACAAGCAGCTTAATTTGCTTCATTTGCCAAGTTATTTGACACGATACCATAAAAATGTGACATGTTGGAAAGCTACCAAGAGATTGAAGTTTATTTCCTAACTCAGCTGTGGGTTAATGCTTCTGTCCCTATGGCAGCAGTTGCTTGTAATGAGCTGTACACACACAAAACAGTTTCCAGATAAAGCCTTCCCCTGATGCAGCTTGTAATACAACTTTGGTGAAACAAAAATGGCATCTTTGTTGTCAGAGTGGGAGTTATGGGAGTCATCCTCGTGGCAGTAATTGCCAATTTGGTGTCTGGGATTGCTGAAGTGAATTTTGGGAGCAATCCTCCCTCTTTTCCACTATGTTGAGCAGTGGGGAGCTGTAAAGATGTTTTTCACAGGACCACTGCCCTTGTTTCCCATTGACCCAGTTCACAGCTCTCAACAGGATTAAATAGCATGATAAGAAAAAAGCTTTTCATTCTGAAGTTGTAAAACTGACCCTCTTCCCCCTTCAAGAAGCCCCCTGAGGAAGACGAATATATAGGCAGGCCCCAACTGGAACAGATGTCAAAACTCAAAACAGCTCTTTCTTCGTAAAGTTTATAAGTATTTTTAAAGGATGTGGAGGAGTCTTACTATATGCAGCAAGATAACATTAAAATGTACAGGTTCTCAGGAGTTGAAAGGATGCTTTTCCTACAAACTCTCTCTTCTCTTTATCTTATCTGCATGGAAAGTAAACAGAAAGTCCCCATTACCTCTCGATATCAGTGAGTCTGGAAGAGTCACGGAATCCTTTAGCAAAAGGGTTGCTGTCAATTTTCAACTTGGTTATCTGGGAACACAAAAAAGAGCAACGTTACACGAATACAGTGTCAGGGTACTGCAGCGTACAAAGTGTTAACCAATCCATCCCCTGTGACTCCACTGCTCATTTTATCTGCCTGCCCCGCGTGTGTGCCCTGCTCCTGGGACACTGGAAAGCTGAGGAGGCAAACCAGGGTGCGCTGCACATGTGGCAGTGGAAAGACCAAAGGGCATGGCAAGCTCAGCCTTCCTGTTGCCCATAGCAGAAGGAAGCCACCCATGGACAGCATTACAGCTTCCAAATGCTTTAGCAGCATCAATCAGGTCTTTTCCACAGGCAGCACAAATCACCCTGCTAACAGCTGAGCCTGCTTGGTGGAGCTGCACATCAACTAGCACAAGCCCCAACTGCCTGATGCCGTGGCTTCACTTCACCACCACCTTTTTTTTTTTTTACCAGGATGGAAATCTTCTCAGCCAGGCCTGCCAGCCACCACACAGGGGCAGATTAACTGGTTTTGTATGAAAAGAGGCAGAGGAAGGGAAGGAAAAATGTGGGGAGAGCTCAGATTTAAAGTGACAGAGCTTGGATTGAAGGAGTAACCCCACTGAAACTATCAGTCTTGAAAAACCAGAGATCCTTAATATAACCTTCTTCAAAGGTAGCTATAAACCTGCCCACTCATGCAGTCACTCTTTCCATCCTGACTTAGCAACCCATTGCCCAGGAATCCCTCCTGCCCCAAAGCATATGAGCTCCCCTTTGTGAGGAAACTTTTCAAGCATATGGTGATGGCTTTCAATATGGTTTTTTTTGAGGACTAGGAAAAAAATGCACTATTGCTCTTGTGAAATTTTCTATCTATCCAGCCAATTTAGATTTGGTGAATAAAACCTGAGACATCATTGTAATATTTGGATTTTCCAGCCATACTTCTTCCAAGAGCTAAAAATAAAATTGTAAGTGGGAGTTAGAGCTTGATGAGAGAAAACACAGAACCCATCCTGCAGGACAGTGAATGCCACTAGCTCTAGCTTAAGCCCATGAAAATCAACAGCTCTCAGCATTTCATATTAAGGGGCTTTGTCAGCCTGACTTCCCTCAAAAAAAAAAAAAAACTGTATTGAAGAGGCTACAACCTCATTTTTAATAACTGGGCCTCAAGACTCAGGGAAAAAGAAATAGGATCTTTTCCAAATACTCAAACAATGAAACATTCTCATTAAACAAATATATTTGAAAATGGGGTGGCTTCTCCCCCAAAATAAAAAGAAATAATAAAGGGGATAAATATATATTTATATAAAATGTAAAAAAATAAAGAGGACAATTGGAACCAACTTTTAATTCTGAGAAAGAGGTCTTCTGAGGAAAACACAGAGAGGAAGGGACATGCTGACAATGGGAAATTCTGAGTTTTTAATTAACAGTCTGTCAGTGGTCGAACACCGTGGACCTGAGTGTTGGTGGAGGGTTTGAAGCTGTCTCACCACTCACGTACAGCTGGTGGAAACAACCTTGAAGCCTTGTCACAAGGACCTTGAAACAGCTCAGAAAATTAGCTATAGGTTCATTCTACTTCCTCAACATCCATAAGTTGTCGGTGATGTTGCGGAGTGGCAAGGTAGTGCCTCACATCCAGTGAAGATTTTTATGGCAGCATTTTGAAAATCACCTTGAAAAAAGGCAAGCTCTAACTAGTTCCATTGACTGAGATCACCGACACACCAAGCCAACTGCACTACAGAACAATAAGGATGTCTATTCATCTCTTGAGCATATTTTCACCAATCAAACTTCCATCTTCCTGATATTAAAGTTTTGGTATGACATCACAGAAGAAACTTTTTGTATCCACCAAAGCCAGATGAGACTCACAATCATTTATGGCCATATTTTTCCTGAGAGACTGTCTCACAAACAATCAGAGAACATCTGCTAGAAAGCATTTTAAAATGAAATCTGACCTACAATTCAACTCTGTGGCAGTGGTTTGACTGTTTAAATAAATGCATGCCCTTTAAATCTTAAATTATGAGATAGTTTGTTGAAAGTGTAATGTATTTAGCTTTTATCTAATAACCTCCAGAAATGTAATCAATCCCTTCTTAAAACAGTTCTGAAAGAAATGGCAAAAATGAAAAAAGGCTCCATTTTCATTAGTCATAAATAAAATGACAAGATCAACCTCTAGGGGTTCCGGAGATGTTCCATTGAGAAATTTTCCAGGACTCAATGTATGTGCTCTTAGTTTAGAAACATCTCTAGTGTAAATATCATCGGTAGACAAAAATCCATCCTACAGAAATAAATTCTGGGTTTAGCTGGTTTTGTGTCTGTTACTATTTTGCTGGTTTCTAAAGAAAGTTACATGGAAAAATCTAACTGCCTGTCCAAACATTATTTACTTGGGATTACCAGGTGCTGAGTATGTTTTCTACAGCATTCAGATACAAATCTAATTCTAAATCAATATATTAAATACTTAAAACAAGATGTGGGGTCTGTCATAAGGACTGACTTAATATTACTAATATTATCTTCGGAACTTCCTTGGCACCCTATGCATTAGTTTCATTTTATTCACAGCATTTCAAAATTGCTTTTGCTTCATATTAGGAAATGCCTACTTCTTTAAATAATCCAGCAGGTACATTAACTCTCTGATGCTGCTTGCCCACATATTTGGGCAGTGCCTATATTTTTCTTAACTTGAGGGAACTAAGGAGCAAAATAGGTGGGTTTTTCAGCATTAAGTCCTTAAAGCATGCTCTGAATCACACTGAGGGCAACAACATATTTCCACTGACTTAAATATTAAAGACCAATCCACCATCAAGCAGAGCCTCTGTTCTCTGATTGTTTATAGACTTCCTAAAATTACTCATTAGCAATCCATTGTTATGATCTCCTCCATTTTGTATATATTATTCACTGGCATGCAAATTGAAATTCAAACATCTGGATGTAATCTGGGCAGCCTCTGAAAAGCATATCTCTGAGTGATTTTCCCTACGTTTGAGCTTTACAGCTTAATTAGTCAACTTTCTAAGCCCATGAAATCATCATGTGCAAACCAGAATCTCTCTCAGTTCATAGCTTGTGGCATGAAAGATCACTGCAAATAAGAACAGTTATTTAATGAGCTATAATTAGAAAATGACTAAATGTCAATATGCAAGCAGCTTTGTATAGACAGAGGGGAAGACAAAAGAAAGCCTCTGACTTGCCAGTTTCACTCTCATGAATAATCCTTACTGTGCTTTGAAGTCTGTAGTGCTACTGTATCTTCAGGAGTAATTCATGAATGTGAATAAGATTGGCATGGAAAGGTAGGTTATAGCAGAAATTTTCCTGGTTTAGATTGGGCAGAAGGGAGTTTTCAGCGGGGTGGGATCTAGTTACATGTGTGGAAATTAGCAACTCTACTCACCAGTTGATTCTGGTAGGCAGTAACAGCAGTAAAAACTGTCTCTGGAAAGATGAATGTTCTGAACTCTTCTGATTTCAGATTTAGCAAAGAAGCTGTGTGATCCTTCTTCTTAATGATGTGCACCCTTGGCTGGTACTTGTGCATGGAGTTCAAAATGATCTGCAAGGAAGAATGACAGAGCAGGGTCCTGAGAGGAAGGCTGACAGAACACTTAAAGGCTATAAAACCATGGAGGGGGTGGGGGAGGGGGAGTGGGGGGAAGATCTACAGGAGAAGCACCTGAAATCTACCCAGCCAGGGGCTAATTTTCAGAGCAAATCCTCCAGTTCCTTTGGGCAGTTCCAGGAAATGAAGGTGGAAAAGCAGGCATCCCAGGAGCTAGTCTCCTCTCACTCCTACGCCACTGGTGAGCATGCATTTCTTGAGGCATAAATACCTGTTCCTACAGGTGAGGTGTTTTACATACAGAATTAGTCACTGCCAGAGTGTGCCCTGGTTGGCAGGCGTGAATACGTAACTCCTGAAAGCTAAAGGCCAAGAGCCCCCACTTGCAGAAAATGTTCATGTGCAGAATGAAAACAGTCACAAATCCCTCAGAAAAAAAAAATGACGGAAAAAATTAGACCCATCCAAAAACCTACCAACAGCAGCACAAACTGTCTGACCAAAAGTAATACTCCACATAGCCTTTCACTGTGGCAAACCTTTAAAACAAACTCTTTCAGGGGTGCTCTCCACCGCAGACTACCAAAAATGAGAGCAGGGAGGGAAACCAGTCCGGAACCCCCAGATGATTGGGTTTTGCTATTCTATCCTCATTAATAATTGTTTACGAGCTCCCAAAACAACTCTAAACCTAAGGTACCAACCAACCAATTTCAACGTTCACTGGAGTCAAACCAAGAGTCCCCCTTGCTTTAGTTACCACTGGCTGGAGGCCTGTTCGGCGGTCTCTAACCACAGTATTACAATATAAGAATTAAATACAGAGCTCAGCTCACACCAGCCCTTGTTTTGGATATAATCACAGTCACAAGACAAAATTGGCAATGGTGTGGGTGGTTCTATTTTGCAGGGGCCATAACGACATTGCAGTCAGCTCCGTACATCTGGAATAGCTAATGTGCATTCCTCAGGAAGCGTTAACTTCAGCTGAAACATAGCAGCAGCAGTGCAGTATTTCATGCTAAGTCAATGAGAAAGGTTGCACATTGCATTGGAGTGGAGAGCTTAGAGACAGCTCTATCATGGCTACAATTTCCATCAGTGTTTTTCTTTGCTGCTCCTTTGGGGCCAATATTGCCAAGACTCACACTGGGACTTTGTGGGGAGGCACAGAGCAACAAGAAAAACATTGCAATAACAGTGAACCATCATCCTGAAAGTGTTGCATGTTTGCTTTAACCAGCTCAGGTCCTTTTTCAAAGCACTTCACCATTTTATATACGAATATACTCAGTGACCATGGACCTTGCCTTTAATATACTTAGCACTTTTCTCTCTCTTTGAAAAATTTTGTCTTGCCATCCTAGTTAGTTGAAGTGCTCTAAGCAGATGGAAAAGACATTTTAAAGCAGGGTGTGTGGATAGTGATGAGCTTACTGAGGGGTTAGCCCACAGATCTTGGTGCTTTCCATTGCCTTTCATGGCCGTGATATCCACACCAAAGAATTACATCTGAGCAGCAGTCAGGCAGAAAGAGGAAAAAGTTGAGAGCAGCTCCCACACATGCCCTTCCCTTTCACTCCTCTCTGAATGCAAATTGTGATAAAGGAACCACATTTCTCAAACAAGACCATGTAATCCCTTTTGAAAGTTTTCCATAAAATAGAGTGCACATGGATAACTTCCCTTGCATGATACTCTACATTTCTTGTTCCCACCAGAGGCAAGTCTGGTCATTCATGTACAAAACAAGTACCAAATGCAGACAGGAGGTCACAAAACACCCATGACCAAGGTAAATGTCACCATTTCCTTCATGTGAGGATCTGTATGTGTAGTTCTCCACCTGCACCCCACACAAGTTACTGATGACACACAAAGACACTCCTTAATATCTGTGCAACTTCTTGTGTTATGACCATATAAAAACAGCCCAAAGAAGTTAGATCCAGAAGGTGTTCCTCACAGAGTAGACTGCAAGAGTGTCCTCAAAGTCCAAGCAGTCCCCTCCTGCATGGTGTAGCTATCAGAAAGTCCTTTATGGCAGCTCAGTGCCAATCCTTCTGGCATGTCCCAAGAGGTACATCAGGTGCCCATATATTCATGGCAGCTCCCCTGCACACACTTGCTGGCAGCCACGGGCCCTCAGCCACCCCATCTACCTTCGTGCTGACAGCCTGAGTCAGAGGAGACAACCAGGGTACCTCCTTACAGGATCCTGACTGCTGTAAGGTTAGGCAGGTTTGTAGGCATCTGGCTCCCACTGGCTACAGACCAGTAACCAGAAGCAATCTGGATGCCAGCTGCAAAATTCCAAGGTGGGTTTGAATTCAGGAACTGTGCTGTGAATGCCACTTCCATATTCACCAAATAATAGCATTAACATGTAACGTTTTCTTTCTGAAAGCATGATGGTTCCTAACTTGTGCCTGATTGATCAAAAAAACTTGGGCATAACTCCTTGTGGCTATTGCAAGACCCCTTTTCAGATTTCACAGTTATTTATTAAACATGTTCACAGCTTTGAGTTTGCTTTTGCATAGATTCATGTGTTTGAGTAAATGCCAAAAATAATGCCAAGTACATTATTACAATAATGTACACTCATGCCTCACCCCACCATAAACCAGAAATGATGGCTTTCCAATGAAGGACAATGAAAAGTCCTAAAGAAAGTAATGTGTATGAAAAGTATCACTAAAAAAATGGCGGGGGGCGGGGGGAAGTCACATTTATAAATATGTCACAGTCAGAAAAATGACGACTTCTTGCTTGGCTGTAAAAATCTAGAGATAGGATCCATTTCCTTCCTCTGGTAAGGGTATCTGAAAGTGTTTCCATGCAGTGAGCTGCATGCCATGCACACAGAGATAAGACTTCTGCCTGAGGCTTGGGGAGAATATGTGCATAACTCTGGAGTTACACATGCTGCTCAAAGTACACAATCAGAAATGCTTGCCAATCCCAAAATTCTCAGAATAAGAGAAAACAAACATACATTAGAACAAATAAATGCCTCTCTTCTCTACTTCTTCCTTTTCAGGAAGGGAACCACCCCACAAATAAACCATAATTACAAATAAACCCAAAACTGTCTTCTGGATGGTGAAGACAGCAAGCAACTAGAACAAACTGGAATCAGGCTGGATCCATTTTCCCTACCTGTAACTAGTATTTAAAGGCATCTTTTGGGTCATCCAAACTTTCTCAGGAGCCAACATGCCTTATCAAACATAATTAAAAAGTGAAGACTGGCTCTTTGAATCTGAAGGGAGAGATTTCAGGAGGTGTTTCAATTCTCCTCTTCTCTTCATACACAGGAGTTCAGAAATGCCATAGGCTGTAGCAGTGCACAGTGTGCCCTCCTTAAAGGCTCCGGAGAACTCATTTCTTCCTTAATTCTACTGATCATCCACTGATGGCATTTGCATAGCTTCAGTAAGACAGCACATAAAACATAACATCCTAATTTGGAACAAAAACCCCCACAAAATATTAAAAAGAGAGTGCTCTGTGAAGGGGTAACACGTGTCACTCAAATCTCAACACAGGATCAAGCCTTCAGGGCTTATCCTTAACCAAGCACACAAAAATTTCCATTGTTGTTGGCTGTCCAAAGTCTTTGTGTAAAGAGTGGGATCAACCTCTGCTTCTCCGGAAATTAATGAGAAGGCTGTGTCTCAAACACTGCGGATCATTTTCTCCTGCTGCCTGTATTTGAGACGATTCAATCTTCTTGCTCTGCCACATGTCTCTGTTCCCGACAGCTCCTCAGACCTACTTCTTCTTCCTACTCCTCTGGGCTTCTGGGAACTGCAACTCTCCTAACTAGCTTGCAATATACTGCTGCAAGCCCTTTATTAGAGGCACACATGGCCCCTGTTATGATGAAAAATGCTTCTTTTTAAGTGCTCACGTATACTGCTCTATCATCACTCGGCGATAGAGCCCACAAATCTTCCGCTTTGCCCTTCTACAGATTATGAAATAAAAGAGAGGAAAAAAGCAAAACCATTCTCCTCTAGTCCTGAAGGGAACAACAATGAGAACTGGGTTCAAGAACAATATACCCACAGATGGATCTCTACAAAAGAATGACACAGAGGCATCTATCTGGGCTTTCTTTTTGTTTATTTGTTTAGGTTTTCAGCTATTTTTGATGCTGTTATTTCCAGGATGTATTTTAAATTATCATGGCTGCAATTCAATTCTCAGTTCTTGAAATGAGTGAAAATTCTCTTTCGGATGAAAAATATTTGCACAGAACACAGCTGAGACAAATGGCCACTGTCTCCCACAGTCCAGGCAATAAACACCACACTAGAGAAGGGATTTCTGGTACATTGTAATCTGCAATTATTCAGCTGAACTAATTAGTTACTCCTACACATGCTTTAGAATTCAAAATCATTCCTCTCTTCCCAAAACCTCATTTACTAACCCTGCCTTTATTCTCATTCTTCTGAACTGAACTGCCCTGCTCTCAGCCAACGATTCTTTCAAATCTGTCCCCTTGCTCCTTCTGCCTTCCCTGAGAGAATCACCAAGCCAGAGGCAACAATTTTAACTTTTTCTTTGCAATTTGGAAGCACTACTCAGTCGGTCCTGCATTTTACAGGCATTCTACAGGAGAGAACAGCATAGACAATACCTATTCTTACCACCTACCACTAGGCACTCAGATAACTACAGTAGTTGTCCCCACTGATGGAGCATAGCAGGAACCCATGGCAAGCAGCTCTGAATCCTATTCACCATCTTCCAGCCTTAGGATTTGGGACAACAAACTGGCACCAATCAGAGCTGGGACCTGTCTCCTTCAGAGGCCCAAGCCCACCCTGTGACACCTTGACTTGCAGTTAGCCTACAGTTATTTCAAGGGCAATTTAGGCACACTTATGTTTTATAATTCTCTAGACCCTGCTTTGGTGTCAGGTCAGTACTTTCTTCTGACTCTGAGCTCATGCTGCGATGAGTTTGGAAGTAAAAGAGCTCTTATTGACAGACCCAACCCTAACAGGTGGCCTGAAGTGACCTGCAGGGAGCTTCCAAACACAAGAATAAAAGCATATGGGTTTGCTAGCCATGGCACGTGGCAGAGCATACTGCCAAGTCACAGCAAAATGCAAGCAGAAGCACAACAAAAGGTTCATCTGCCTTCCTTCTATCCCTTCCTCTGATGTTCAGCTCTACCCTGAACTTGTCCCTGATGGATGTTTTGCCTCTAATGGAAGTAGGAGCATGATTTCAACCATTGATCCAGGCTCCACCTTATGAAATATTACAGAAAATCCTGACTTTGAAAGTTGCCTCAAGACCAAAGGAACCCAAAAGGACCCTTAAACATGTTAAACCAAACATATTCCAGCTTCACACAACATCTTCCACCCCTGTGGTATGAAGGGCTGGCAAAAAGAGGTGTAACATGGGGACCATGGCAGCCTTTTCCCATGGCAGTCTCTCTTCCATTGAGCCCTGTGGCACAAGCAAGCAATTCCTTTGTGATTTCTTTTCCCTTTCCCACCCATAGAGGTACTCACATGTCCATGCTGATCCAGCTCATTGTTGGTGAGTTTGACTTTTTCAAAGGACACCATCTGCTTCAGTAGTTGCTCTCCTGTGAATGGAGAGTCAGGGTGCACATACAACCTAAAAAACACAGGGGAAATGCCTGCTCAAAATAAAATCTCATCTCTGGGCTTATGTGTGGGCACCACCTCAGTATGAAGTGAAAATGCATATGTCATTTTGCTTTTGGGATATGCGGTGGTTTCATGGGCATATCCTGAGAATTTAGGGTAATACAAAGTTCTTAAGAACTTAGGGTAATACAAGTCTGCTGCTAGAACATGATACCATCTCCCCAAAATTAATGAATTCCTGAAATAAAGCAATTCATGAAGGACAGTAAAGCAGATGACTTATTTTAATTCACTGGAACATAATTGAGAATCCTGTGTCTGAGTGCTAGACTGCTCCTTAACCATAACTATTATTTTATCCCTCTATCTAAAATAGAGATATTAACATTCCCTGTTGTGTCTTTTCCCAAATGAAAAATTGATCATGTCTTTCCCCACAGCTGTACTAACAAGCACTTAAAATAACAATGACTACAACTCCAAGAGAAAAAACATGGTGTCATTACAGAGATAATGGGGGAATGTAGATAAAGATGCATTTTTCTTTATATGTAACATTAAGCCGTGATAATGATTTTAACCTGCACTCGATCACACATTTGCTGTGGTGACGTCTGTTTATAAGAGGTTGAAGGCTGCAGTCCAGCACAGTGGTCTGACATGAAAAATCAGTTGCAGCTCTGCTATTAACAATCCTACAGTTGGGAAATTAAGCAGAAGAAAAGGAAACAAGAAGACATGCAGATACAATGATATATACATTATGGCTACACTAATTACAAGTGCCATGCTATTTAAGAGCAATGATTTTATAGGAAAAATGTATTGCTGAAAATTATTAACTCAACTGTTCATTTGTGATGGCAAATTAAGAGCTGGACTAGATCTTCAGCTAGTACAAACCAGCCCTGTTTTGCTACTGCCTGCACTGGTTATCACTCACTGAGGGCCTGACTCTCATTTTGGGTGATTTCTTTGGCCTCACAAATGACTTTCTTCCATTGGGTGGGTGGAGCAGGACTGAGCTGCCAGGTTAGGAAGATAAACATTTGTCCTTGTTGTTGAGCTACGATTTTAGAAAACCACTAAACGGTGGGGCGTAACTCTCCAACAGGGCACACAGATCCCTAATCAAGGAATGCCCATACTAAAGATGCTGGGTAGAGCAGCCCTGTTGCTCAAAGAGGAAGGAGATTTGATCCTGTATTCTGTTTTTGCCAGCAGAATCCCAAGACACAGTGAAACTAAAGTTTTACCAGCACAGCTCGCCTCAGATGTGCAGGATGTTTTCTTTACACTGATCCAAAGCACAACTTGGCTGCTCTAGCTATGTCCATGGGAGGGATGCTGAGCCAGGATTTCTGTCACAATAAAATATTCCTAGTATGCAGGCATCCTTACTGCTATTGACTCTGGTGATTGCCCTGCAAAGCTCATAAAAAATGATGATGTATTCTGAAATACCAAGACCTGGAATCATGTTATGTCAAAAGAATCTTAGCTCTCATGAAAACTAACTTTACCTTCCTCTAAAAAACTGTGAAAATTTCAGTATTTAGAGCCCTGAATTAGGGAAAGCAAAACAAAAATATTGTCAAACATGCCCTGCAAATTTTCAGCCAGAGTTGTGATTTTTTTTGAGCCTGCCTCCTAATTTTGAGTGTCTGGATAGCTAATAATGTTTACTGTGATCGCAGAGTGTCAGACTCAGCAAGGTTTGGCTAATTGGGACCAAGAAGCCAAAGTATTTCAAATATGTGCAGGGAATGAGTAAAGACCTCCCTGTGCTGAAAAGCTGAGCACAATTGTTTTACACCATCATGGTTAATGCTTGGCTCTGCTTTAAAGCTATCAAATGCCTGTAAGCAAAGTGCTAACAGGAACGTAACTGACGGATAGGAATATCAATTACTGGTATACAATACAATAGACCTTACTTTTCTTAGCCCATTTTCTACACCCCAACAATCCCACTGCAACACAGGGTTCTGCCTGGTGAGCTACACCTATTTCCCACACTTCTCCCACAGCCCAAGCTTGCACCCCTCAGAGAAAAGGGTTAAAGGCTTGACAAAGCAATTTCTGAAGGAGAAGTTGTTGGCAAGACCACGAGTGTGCACGAGCAAGCAGGTCAGTGAGATGAATGTGCACATTCCATCATGGCACACGAGGCTCTCCCTGAAGTTTGCCTGGGATCTGCTGCACAAGGCCAGCCAGATGCAAGGGGCTCCTCGCTTGGATTCACAAAGGATTTAGGAGCCATATTTGGGTGTGAATTTGCTCCGCGGTATATAATGTTTCATAATGGACACAAGGATTGAGTACTGCTACTTTCTTGTGTATTTTGGAATGCAACACTGCACTCCCTCTATTTACTTTAACAGATGGTCTGGTCCCACAAGTCCCCTGCATGCTACTTTTATTTACCATAATGTCTCAATTTTCAAATATAATACCTTTTAAAGGTTTCCTGCCTAGAGTTCTCTGTAAGTCTGTAAACACTAAGTTAATTTAACAAATTACTGTAGACAAATACAGTTTAAAAAAAATATAGGGACAAAATTTTGAGTGAAAGAAATGAGGCAAAAAAGGAAAACAGGAAGAAGATTAAATAAAGGTACATGCTAAAACTTACTGAACTGATGTTTCACACAGTCTTAATAATGTGGAATACAAACACAAAATATCACATAGGAACTCTATCCCCAGATACCACTTTAGAAGATCTACAAAAGACTTTCTGAAAAGTATTTTTATTTAAGTGCTCGTTGCAACATAAACTTGTTCATTGCAACATAAACTTGTCTTCAACATTGACAGCAGGAAGACAAGGATAAAACTGGTTTTAATAGAAAGTTCCCTGAAGGGCTAATCTTTCAAACAGAATCACAGAATACTCACTAATTTGAAAAAAAAAATCAAAACCCCAAAAAAAACCCACAAAACTGCCATAGTGTTGAAAGTTATTTTTATAATGGAAAGAGTAAAACCATCAAACTGGTTCAATCCTGCAAAGTCTTACACCCAGGCACAATACAACTCCTGAATTATTCCCCTGATGTCACTGTGCCTGGGCAGATGCAAGCAGCAATGTGTATGTGAGGAGTAAGTACCTTGTTACCAGTTCCCAGACACTAAACACACACACAACTCCCACTGACACTCCTCAAGCAGGGAGAGCTAAAACCTATGTTTGGAGGACAAGAAATCATAACTTCCTTAAGGGTTTTGTTATTGGAGCAGGACTAAACTCGTTTCAAGATGGGAGGAGAATTACTTTTAATCTTTTCAAGCAAGACTGAAAGATGCGTTAACTCTCTAGAAGAAGCACTGGTAATGCAAACACGGGAACTGAACCTCTTGACATCCTTTTTTCACCTAAGAGACGTATAAGGAGGACAAAATTCATAAATGCATATGTAAGTACCGTCTGCACAAAGAAAAAGCTATCTCTGCCGGTGCTCTTATCAACAGTCTGTTAAACCAAGCATCCTGAAAATGAAGCAGGAAAGGTGTACATTCACATGTGGGGACAAAGCATCCTGAAAATGGAACAGCACAGATTTGCACACAGGGGCATTGATCTGCTGAGGACTCCCAAAAATCACCACAGTACAATAAAAATAACTGTTAAACTTCAAGAAAGTTTTACCCAATACTCAGCAGGGCAATTGCTAATTATTCCTGTCTCTTGTCTTATGTTCTAGTATTTCCTTGCTGAGCAAGTCTATGCCAAAGAGAGTGTGAATTAGAAATCTATTTAAAGGTATCCCAAAAGGGGTGTGAACAGAAAAATAAGAAGGGGAAAATCCTGCTTTAAAATTATTTCTGTTCTTCTGTTATTTCTTCTTTTGATGCTGATTCCCTTGGAGCAGGATCTGTGATTTTTCTTTGGGTTTTGATCAGTGCCCATTACAATACGTCAAATGAAGCCCTCAGACGTTAACCACACTGCAAGAAGGAGTTTTTGGCCATGAAAACAAAGCAGACATAACTCCTAGGTTGCTGTCTTTAATCACAGCTTCTCTGCTTGCGCTTTTTGTTTGTTTACTTCCCTGAACAGCCTTCCAGAGATCACCAGTCACCAAGATTTCAGTTCAACTATTTATATAAAGAAATCGCGCAGAATTTGGTGCCTATACTCACAGACCAAAAAAAAAAAAGAGTTTCCATTTCTTGTGTTTCACTTATAATTTTTGCCTCTGTAATAAGCAAGTTCTTAACCCCAGGCTAAGCCACCTGGAGCAGATCTGTGCTCCTGCACTGAGCCTTCTGCAAAAAGTTTCTTTGAAGCCTGAGAGGCATCCGCGTTATTTCCATATCTCGGGTTCTGACTCAGCAAAGCCTTTCGACATGTGCTGCAGTCGCACTGGACTTGGGGACTGAAGTAGGTACAGAAGTGCTGGGCTGAATACGATGAAGTGTGGGTCTCCTCTGAAGTGCCCTCCCACTTTACAGCCCAGCGCTGCAGCCTCAGTTGCCCGGTGCTTAAAAGAATCAGTCATTAATTACATTAATGGAATGACTTTGGAAATTAAATTTCTAAAGCATTTTTTTCTGTAGAGAAAAGGGAATTTATTTTAGAGGGGTTATTTTACAGAGGGTTTTGTCCTGATGTCTCAGAATATGTCATGATCTTTTAACAAAAAGAAAACTGTGCTGAGGAACTGTTCTGTACTTTGCCTGCTGCCTAAGAGATGATTAAAATCAAGAAAAAAATCATTGGTTAGCAAATGCTAGGTATTTTACAGAAATAATATAATTTCAAGTATAAACAGCAATGAACTGCAATTTATTTCTACTTTGGCTTGGCTGGTGGTGCCTGGATGGCTTTAAATTATGAGGTCAAATATTGAGGAGAAAATCCAAGAGACACAATTTTTTTTTTTTCAGTTTTCTTATCTGAATCACAACAAACTTAATTTTTTTTTTAAAACCCCAGTATATGTAAAAGACCTCTTAACCAAATTCTACATGTCTTGGAATACTCAGTATAAATCAAATCTCAAGCAGAGATTTGAGGCCAGATTTTGCAACACAAAAATTGTAATCAGAGTTTTGTAACCAGCTTTGCTGAACATGGACTCAAAATCTCAGAGCACTGTTTGCAAACAGAATTGGAAGATTAATACAAGATATTTTGTGAAGGGGGAAAAAAAAAAAAAAAAAAAAAAAAAAGTAGAGATAAATAAAAGAGCAGCAATAAAATCTACAAACCTCGCAGGGAGAGGAGGGTCAGCTTTTCCAGCCACTAACCAGGAAGACCTGTGGTAGGCATATCTGTATCTTTTATTGTCCACAGGAACTATATCCATTAACACAATATACTTGGCCTCAGGATCCACTCCCGAGAAGGAAACCCTGATCGTAGGAAACATTCTCCTAGAAAAAAGGTAAATCAAAAAATAAATATTTAGGCAGAGAATAGAAATAAGAGAGCATCTGAAAAGCTGCTGAAAGTAAGAATTGTATTTAAATCCCCTGAAAAAACTTAAAGCATGTATTGATTTTGCTTCCACATGATGGGAGTTAAATCTTATGTCTCTCTAATAAGGAGACAAAAATCAGTTTGAAATCGAAATTATATTTGAGAAGCAAAAAGAAAAACATGGTAAAAAGTGAATAAAGAAAGGAGAAATATACTATTTGCCTGTTAGTTAAAAGTACACAACGATTTCAGAAAATAGTTGTAGCTTATGTACATAGATACTTAGGAACTTGCATTTTCTTTTAATTATTTATATTTTACAGGATCTATACTACTGTAAGGGAAATATTCCAGAAATTATTTCCAGTGTTATTCTCACATATTTTACATGAGTGTTTTCTTAAGCCTGCTCACAATATTTTTGAACGGAATTTTCAAAACTAAAATATTTGTTTTCTGTACTAAACTTTTAACAAAGCACAATTTTAAAATGTAAGCTTATCCTGTAGACTAGAAATAAAGTTAAATAATTTTTGATGGTTTAAAATACTGAACTTTAAATTGCGTGTTTTATACCTATTTTTAAAAAATACCGATAGAGCTCACCAGTTGGAAAAAAAAAAAAAAATCAGGCAACTACGTTAATAAAAGTAACTTTGGAGATTATGAAACCTCAAAAGACATTTGGCTCCTCCGGACTGCATTTGACTGACCCAAACCCCACAAGTTTTCCTGAAGAAACGGCATAGCTTGAGGTAAGAAGAAAGCCCGAAATGCTTTTGCGCATTTTTGCAACCGAGAGAAAAGAACAAACCAAACCAAGCACTGACAGAATCCCTTCCCCACGACCCCGCGTTTCCCTCGGTCTGTACCAACCCAGCGCCTCAAAATCACAGCAGGATTTTAGTCACGAACCTGATTATTAGGGAAACAACACTAATTCCCTGCCGCCAGGACGGCCCGGGTGGATTTCAGCCGGCCCCGCCGCAGCGCACCGCGCTCGCTGCCAGCCCCGGCCGCGACTCCCTCTGCCCCAGAGGGGCTCCGCGCACCGCGCAGAGCCGGGCTGGGCCCACCAAGGGCTGCGGCAA